TAGTAAATGGTGTTTTAAAGCTGGATAGCATGTCAAATAAAATGATTCTTCTAAAGAGAACACAGGTTTAATTCAAATGTGTATTTTAAAAGCATAAATATTTATTTTATGTAGTTTTTCTGTTAATGGTCATGACTGTAAAACTGTTTCTAAATAGAACAATTCATGAAAAGCATGGACTAAAATAAATGCACATACTATTAAAAATTTAGATGACATCATTTATATGATTTAAAATTTTAGTTCTTCTGGTAACTGGATTGTGACCTGGTCTTCCTCATTTTACTTTTCTAGGTCAGCTTTTCTCCCCACCCCACTCCTAAATAACGAGATTAGAATAGATGATTTATAAGGTAACTTCTGGTTAGTCTATGATTCTAACCCATACATTATTGGCTATATTCATAACAGATCTGTTTATTTTCTACCAAAGTAACCGAAGCATATATTTTATACTGGATGAGATATTTATTTTCTTAATTTAAATAATTAATATTTCTTAAGTATGATTTCCAGAGCACTGTACCAGCTGTTTTGAGACCACAGACCATTACAGTACATATTATATATAACTATTTACATAAGATGTGTTGCTAAACTCATAGATTTTATATTACAGTATAATGTACATCAATGTAAAGCAATAAAAAAATCTCAGAATTTTCAAAGCATATCCAATTTAAATCAGAATAGAAACAAAGTGAATAGTTTGATATGTTCTGGGAAGTCAAATGGGTGCTTTGAATGACATCCTGTTTGTCAGGAAGGTGAAGTCAGATTGAAGTTATATGTGTCCAGGGACACAAGCATTATCACAGAAGCTATGCTGTTGTCCATACTTGCCAAACGGAGAACGTACTCTCTTTTTTGAATGGTAATATGTGTCCGACCCCATTGTAAGCACTTTACAATATTTTTCCTAGGTCTAGGTTTTCTGTCCATTTTACAGATGAGAGGAATGGAGCAGTCTTAGCAATTTGCCTAAGGTCATAGCCTAGAAAGCAGCAGAGCCAAGACTTGAACATAGGCTGCTCCCAGAATGAATATTTGATCAGGCTGCTTTTTGCATAAAACTAGTTACCAACACAAATTGCAGAATGTATATTTTCCAGTGATGTTAATTGGTTTGATAGAAACATCTTCAGAAAGAGAAGCAGAGGTGCACAATGTTTAATTTCCCTCTGTGGTCTTTAATTATAAAACATCTGAAGTACCACACCTCAAAATTTTATTACACCCTGCTCCTACCAACCAAGATAATGTGTGTAAACTTTACTCATAGTTACTTAAGTAATTGCCAAATCAAAAATGTCCTTTGTGAATACGAAGCAAAAATTGAGAAAAAACAGAAAGTACTAATGTTTTGTTCTTACTCATTTATGAACAACACATGTCTTGAAGGAATGGAATCCCAATTTGATATAAAAATAGCTTATCCTTATATTGTGCTTAAAATGTGACAGGCAGTGTTCTAAGTGTTTTTCACATATAAACACACTTGATCCTCATAACCACCCTTTGAGATGGCATAAAATTATTGCTATTATCATTACTATTTTACAAATAAGGAAAGCAAAGCAGAGGATAAGTAACTTTCCCATGTCTTACCAATTTGTCAATGTTAGAAACAAGATTTGAACACAGAGAGTCTGGACTAAATTCATATTCAATATCATAAGAGTGTGTGTGTGTGTGTGTGTGTGTGTGTGTGTATGTGTGTGTGTGTATGTAAACTCATTATCATTTTTTAAAATTTCTTTGGCATTCAGTCATTCAGCAAATATTTATTGAATGTTTCTATGTGCTGGGCACTATATTATTATGCCCTAAAGACTTAGCAGTTAATAGGCTAATCAAGAGTTCCTGCTTTCATGGAACTTACATTCTAGTGTAAGAAAATGGATAGCAAACAAATAAATAATTCTTACAGATTGTGAAAATTGACCGGGGAAAAATAGAGAGATGTGAAACAGAGTAACTGCAAAGGGTCAACTTTAGGTTGCATGATCAGTGAAGACATCTTAATTTTAGTCATGTGCAGACAAAGTTATAAAAGAGATAGGAAAATAGTTTTCAAGAAAGGGAGGTAGACAAAAATAAAATTGTATGGAACATAAAGTTTTAGACATATTACAAAATGTTAAGCTGTCAACCATTTGAGAGCTATGTTGACTAGGAATTGAAGAGATTGCCGTAAGGGTTAGGTTGTATACAGGTTTGATTTTTCAAAGTTTATTATTAAAGAATGAAGGGATGCAATTTAATATCTTTTAGGAGGTGAGAATGGCATCCTAGGTGAGTGATATGCCACATGACTATTAGTGGTCCTTGAATTTTAAATAGAGAAGAGGAAGTGTCCTTTGTTTATTTGTAGCTGAAAATGTAAGCTGGTTAATAGGTAAGAGATGAAGTTAATTAGACAAAGTTAGAGACCCCTGGAGATCATAATCAAAACTTTTAATTTAATGTGTAAGTCACTTGGGGACACTGAGTTTTTTAGAATCAATCAGCAATTGTTTGTTTAACACTCACTGCAATATAGGCTTTTTTTTACTAGGAGAAAAACACACAAATTTACTTAATGTATGTTTACATGACACAGGAGCTCCCTCCCTCCAAAAGAAAAGAAGACTCAAAGAAGAAGTTATAGTAGAACCAAATGCTTATATGCTGAGATGGACAGAGACTAGTAAATTGGGAAAACATGACAAGGCAAAGACGTGTAGGCTAGGGTGGTTCGTTGGGTAGCAAAGTGCCTAGGAAGAGCTGGCTTTAATAAAGTTTGTACAGATTTCTCTTGGCTTCAACTTCCTGCTGTTGATGACAAGAATGTTACTTTGCTCCTGGCATAGGGAAAATGTCTTCCATATGGAGATTTTATCTCCTACTTTCAGGAAGAAAAAGGGGAGGTCAGAGCGACCTTTCTGCACTGATGTTTTCTTTAAGTGCTTTTAGTTCAAAATAATCCATATTCCAAAGTGGCCTATTTTGAGTGTCATGTTTGGAACTCCTTCAGTATAAAGCCTATATTCAATTGTCACCAGTTGCCCCAATAATGTCCTTTCTAGCCATTTTTCCCAGTGCAGATTCCAATCCAAGATCCAGCATTGCTTTTAGTTACCCACCAAGGAACCTCCCATCGTCTACACCCCCACTCTCCCCCTTTCAAGTCTTCATTATCCATCATTCCATACCCTGTGTATACATTATTTAGCTCCCATTTATAAGTGAGAATATTACATTTTACCTTTATAACTGTACCCCTTTTAAGGTCTAAGTTCAGAAAAACAATTTTCAAAGTTCTAATTACTCTCCACTAAATTTTTTCTCAAAAACTCAGATTATTTTTTTCTGCCCTGGGCTTCTTTGCCAGCAGGTCTTTCCTCTAATGATAACCCTTCTGTGTATAGGAGTGTTTTACTTGCAAATTAACAGCCCTGCACATCAAGTGCTTTTATAAACAGGTTAAAGTGCTGGAAGGAAGATGTTTATAGTGATAGATAACAATTTTCAGAAGTAAATTGAAACAATTTTTTCTTGGTTTATCATTCTTCATCTACATTTTGAAATTTTTTCCCCTTCTCTCTGTCCTTAGTAACCTGGAAGTTTATTATCCAATTATCCTCTTAAAATGGTTTTTGGTTAGATGAGATGGATCAATGACTTAATCCTTTGCTGAAGTTTTTGTTCAAGTTTCCTACTCCATCTGAAATGCTCTTATATCCATTATTGCTCTTTAGAACTGGAAATATCTTACTCAATCTTTAAAGTTTACCTCATTCATTTCCTTTTAGAGGAGTCTTAACTGCTCTAGTTGATGTTCCTCAATACTCCCATAATACTCTTGCAATAGGGGCAATGTTGAAGATATGGGCTTTGAAATTAGAGGACATAAAATTTAGTTTTGGCTATGCCCTGTAGTAATTGTGTGGTCTTGCACAAGTTACTATGTCTTATAAATCTCATTGTTTTTATCCACACGTTGAGCACACAGAGAACTTCTAAGTTTAAGTAATAAAATTAGGTATATAAAACACTGTCATTTGCCTCAGATGTTATAATAGCATAAATATGTTTCTTGAATAAATAAGAGTATAGTACATTTTTAAAAGACTTTTAGCGATAACAAGACTTCAATCAAGCAAGAAATTGTGTTACAGATTTTTGGATCATATGGGGCTACTAGCCATGATGCTTGTATTCATAAAGACCTTTTCTCGGTTGTCTTTAAATTGTAGCAAATACGAATTTATCTAATACAATAGGATGACCTGTTCAAGTTGATGCAGATAATTAGAAACATGACAGTCGACAAACAGATATTTCATAGTTATCCTAATGTAGTGTGGCGAGAGAAAGCTCTGGAGCCAGACTGCCTAGGTTCAGACTCCAGCTCTGCCACATCATAGCTGAGTCATTTGGGCAAATGCTTAACTCTCTGTAACAGTTTTCTCCTTTATAAAATGGCGATAATTATAAAAATATTAATAGTTACATAAATTGAATAAAAAATAAACTTTGTGAGGATTGATTTAATATAAGTGTTTATAACAGTGCCTGGAATTGAGTATACACTGAGTACTTGCTTGCAATTATCACTGAATGTTAGGCACTTTGCTAAGTGCAGGGGATTCTCTGATGAACCTTGGGGAAGAGAGGCATTGAGCAAGTAAGCAAACATGAATACATAATTTCAAATTGTGGTCATGTCAAAAAGAAACAAAAAAAAAGAAATTGTTATGAACCACATAACAAGAAGGACTAGAATGGGAGTAAGAAATAAGGAGTAAAAAGGTAAGCATTGTTACCATGGGAAAATATTTTGCCATTTTCTTTCAATGTTGTAGTATATTTTTAAAAATAAATAAATAATTTAAACGTGACAACTTATATCTTTTATTTTATTCCTGTAAAACAACCTTGCATAATTTGTATTTTTCACATATGCAAGTAGATGTAGTTGCTCAGAAAAGGAATAAATACATTGTTTATTTTTATAGCCTATCAACTAAGAGTGTGCCAACCTCCACCACCCGTACCCAATGCTGAAATTTTGACAGAAGATGATGAATTTGAAATAGGTAAAGTATGTTAAATTGCTTTCAGGGAAACATACTCTTAGCAGAGGTATTTGTTTGAAAAGAAACAAAAATAAAGAATAGTCGTAGCCTGTCTTTAGAGCCTCTTCCCCTGGGTTGATACAGATTGTTTAGAATTCTTTAAAAAAGGAGAGCAATGAAAAGAGAAAAGGGAGTATTAGGCAAGGAAAATGAATTTTGTTTTTTCAGAATGTACCATTAGAAAACAGTGTTGGAATCTGAACTGTATGCTGGTCATTCTTTCCAAGTTATTATTTTGCTGCCTTCTGACACTATACTTCTAACTTCTGTTCTTTGAATTCAGGCCTGAGCCTGGCTCAGTAAAATGAAGGGTATGTAGGGTATTTTAGAAGATGTATTTGATTTCTATATCTTGGAAAATACTTGATTGATTGCCCTCAATTTGATAATAAATAAATTACTAAATAAAGAACAAATTAACTGAATCTGGAAAATTTCTCATAATTTGAAAAATGATGTAAGAAGACATCTTAATGTTGCCATAATGAACTTTTATCATTACTATTTAATATTCATTTTGGTTGAGACAGATAAAAAAAAACTGTCAGTGATCAATATAAATCTAATTTTAATACAAAAGCAATAAATAGAAGCCTTCTAACTACTGGATATATTTTTATTGAATATCCTACCTATACCAACCAAATTATTTCTTTATGACTATTGCTTGTATCCAGCCAGTATGCATCAGTACAGATGGACTGGTAGTTTACTCTTGTCTTCAGTTCCTATTGGTCAATGCCGATTAAGTACTGGTTGTTCAATAGTTTGAATATTACTCCTGCTTATAACTAATAAATTTTTTATCCTGATTGAGAATGACTGAAGAAGAAAATAGTCTTCTTTTACAATTGAAATATATGTTTATTTTTACCATTGCCTTGTTGCTTATCTGAAGCCGCCCTCCTCTCTCTCTCTCTTTTTTTAATAGGTGATATTATTAGGTATCAGTGTCTTCCAGGATTTACTTTGGTTGGTAATGCAATTTTGACATGCAGGTTGGGAGAACGACTCCAGATGGATGGAGCACCTCCAGTTTGTCAAGGTACCAGTTCTTACGATTATTCATGCCTTAAATATTTGTTTTATGTTTAACACAATATCTACAAAATTGAGAAAAATCTATTATATAAATATGAAATATTTAACTTTCAGTAATGTTATAAGTTATACAACTCCTATGCGATCTTTCATTTAGAAATATTCCATTATTTCTCAGATTTAACTTTAAACGTCTTTGATTCTTTCAAGGTTTAATTTTTCTAGTTTAGCCTGAAGTCAGTTCAACTTACTTAAATGATTTTTGCTCTGAAGGGTGGGAATGGAAGTGGAAAAAAGAGACATCACTTTACATAAAGGCTCCAGCGTTAATTGCTTTTGCTTGGAAACAGTTTCTATTCTAACCACTGTGTTCATTTAACTTTACTGCGTACCTGTTAAGTATGAAGATCTGAAGAAAAAACAAACAAAAAATACATTTTAAGTGGCCTTTACCACTTAAAGCCATCATGGGATAAGCAAGATGGCAGTCATACAGGTGACAGCAATACAGTGTTTAGGAAAGAGGCCAGGAAGCTATAGAATCATATAATTTTTAACTGTTTGTGGGGGAGGGAAAGATTGATGGAGGTGTTGTTCCCTGAGTCATGAGCTCCAAATGACGAGTGAGACTTATCCTGGTAGAACAGAACTAGAGAAAGGACAATCTAAGTGGCAGATGCTAATGCGAAAACACAGAAGTGAAAAACAGTGGGGCATGGACTTCAAGGAATTTACTATGTTATAAGATGGTGATGGGCCTTGAATGATGCTCTGGTGCTGTGATGTTCAGCAATCATTTATTTTGATTTGTCTAGCCCCTAGTCCCAGAACAGTGCCTAACACACACTAACTAAACATAATATTGGTTATTTGAATAAAATCAAGTTGTATTTGGTTATCCTTTCTACATGTTTTTGGATTACTTCTTTCATTGGAATTTATTCCTGAGAATATGGAAATCTGTTTCTTGTGCAGTATCTTAACTTCTACGTTACGTCTAAAACAAAAATTCTGTTTATTTTTCTATACATGTTATAAATAGGAATTAACATTTGATTTTCTACCTAATCGGGATCCTTACAAGAAGATGAAAGAATTTTCACAAAAGGCTTTTACAGTAACAAAAAGAAAGACAGGTTAGGAGGTATACACCATTTTCAGTGTGAGAATTTCTTGTGGTCTTAATCAGTGCTATTAGAACATCTTAAAGTTGCTTGGGTATTCTGCAATCTATCACTTGTATTCTAAAAATTATATGTCATTCATGCAGCTTTCTCCTTCATGAAAGACTACTGTCTAGCCCCTTGGGGTTATGTAGAATTCATATTCAGATATTTAGATATGCAAATGGAGAAGGCAGGGTATCAGCCTTTTGGGGAACTATAGCTGGGAAGATAACTTGAGCAGACACAGGAGGTGTGAATGAGTAATTACATAATGGGACTTCTATCTTGACCCCAATATATAAGTTACATTCTGAGGTCTGGGAGGGCAAGCTTCTTGCTTTTATATTTGGATCCCAATTCACCAAAAATTTTATTTAATTCAAATAAACAAAATAACCCAGATAACCTGGACATTTCACAATTCCTTATTTCTCAGACTTTCAATGTCTTATTTCCAAAATCAGACTTTCCTGTAGATTAGTTGTTGCAGCTCTTCTTATTCTGTCTGCTGTGGAGAATAAAAAAAAAAAAAAAAAACAATAAATGTTTTCTCATGATAACACTTCAGATACTAGCTAAAAGTTAATAAATCACCCTCAGAGTGAGTCTATCTAGAGTTTCTGTATCAATTAATAAAGTGTTTAAGCCAAAAACCTGACTTTATGTTTTTGTTTAATTGAGTTAACTCACAAACTTGTTAAAAGTTATTAGTCTGGAATCTGCTAGAACTAATCTACACTGTTTTTAGTCTATTTTAAATTATTTGATTATTTTCACTCTTCCTAAACAAAGCAGAATCATTTTTGTTCTCTGTTCTTTGGATCCTCTTTAGCTCTCTATATTCCACTTACAATGTAGAAAACAATTCCAAATATGATTTTTTAAAAAAAATTCAATGTAAGTGAAATCTAATGAGTGATTATATTTGGTGGCTTGAAAACATTGAGTACAACTGAATCTGTGAGACTTTTGGCACTGTAAACTTTCTGGGCACCAGTTTCTTATATGTGTAATGGTTTTCCAATGGTTGGGAAAAAAATGAAAAGAAAGAAGAAGAAATAAATGTCTTATCTTTTATTTATCTATTTATTTATTGTCCAGAAAAGTGGTTCACCTTCTATGAAGAAAAAAAGAAATCAATACTATAAATTTTTAGGTCATACCCCCAGTTTTTGAATGATAAGCTTAATACAAGTTGTCTCTTCTAACAAATAATTCGAAGAATCATCTGCTTTATCATTACTGAACATGAAAGCAGAGTGCTCTATTTAAAATGTAGTTTTCACTGAGGTTCTAAAAGACTAGCACTATTTAATAATATCTTTCTTTGACAGTGCTCTGTCCTGCCAATGAATTACGGCTAGATTCTACAGGAGTCATATTGAGCCCTGGATATCCTGACAGTTATCCAAATCTTCAAATGTGTGCCTGGAGCATTTCAGTGGAAAAGGGTTATAATATCAGCATGTTTGTAGAATTCTTCCAGACAGAAAAGGAATTTGATGTTCTTCAGGTGTATGATGGTAACCAAGGGTTATATTTATTAGATATGCATAAATTAAGTCCAACTGCTCTAATTATACATGCAGACTTTCAGTATAAAAGTAATTTTTGGATCTTAAAGTTAGTTGATTAAAAAAGTGATTTTATAATATATTTTTAGAAGTATCAACATTCAATTTACCTTTATATCAT